AGGAGAACAACTTGCTTGACCGAAATGCATTCTCAGGACTGACAAAAGAAGGCAGTTTCATTGGATGTCATTTCAAAGGCTTCTCTTTCCTTTAGGGCAGAATATGAGTGTTTCCAGATCGAATTGTCCAAGAATTACGGTGTGACCGAATGGCAAGACGATGTGAGGAAGATCATGATGAAGGCAGGCCTTGAAAGCGTACCCAAGACGTTCCTTTTTGTGGACACACAGGTATGGGAGTGTTAGCATGGCTGACTTCTTGTAAGGAGTCAGGATCACATCTTTAAGTTGAAGAATTTTCCCTGAGGAGCTTAATACAGGATAACATTGGCTTGTTACTGTAAAGTGTAGCTGTAGACTAACTCCTGGAATTCGTGGTTGTATTTCCCATGGGTTTTTATACTGCCATCGTTATCATAGGAACCAGGTTGCTTCAAGCGGTGCCCTAAGCAGAGAGATGAGCATCTGTCAAATGCTGCTTGTTCGCTCATCCTTCTCCCTGCAGTGAGGAGCATATGTGGGAGAAGGGCGGGGGCATTGGAGGGTACATTTAGACAAGTAGATGGATGCTGTGTATTTCTGATGTAGCAAGGGCGGAGAGGTGAGTGCAGCTCTGGAGGGAGATCATCCCACAGCCTGTGACATGTCCCTACGATTACTCTGCCTCTCATATCAATGAGCTTTATCACTAACAGTGAAGCGTTCAGCTGTGATGGAGAAACAAGGACCTGGAGCACCCTGGGAGTGGGGTCTGGTCACAGAGTCACTGCAAGGCACGGAGCAAAACCCCAAGCATAATGTATCTGTAAGGAGATGGTGAATGAGCAGAAGGAACGCTTGTTCCCAGACGTCTCCGCCTCTGAAGTGGCTGAACGTGGCTGTTCAATTGCAAATGCTGACCCTGAGACATGAATATCCCTTACTGGAGCCCAGCAATCGTGGAAACAATTTCTTATAGCAGAGGCTGTGGGCTGTATTTATGCAGAGGTTTGTTATATGTCATACGGAGACCTGACTCTCTTACAACTTTTTTCTCTCCGCCTCATTTACTTAGATTAAAAACGAGTCCTTCCTTGAGGATATCAACAACCTGCTCAACTCCGGTGACGTTCCCAACATTTACAGCCCTGATGATCAAGAGCAGATCATGACAGCCATGAAGCCTGTTGTGCGAGAGTTGGGGCTGCAGCCCACCAAGGCCAACCTGATGGCTGCATACACAGGACGGGTTCGCAGCAATATCCACATGGTCCTGTGCATGAGGTACAGCTCAAGGGCAGGATGGTGCTGTCAGTGTTAATTATTCCTTCCCCGTGCTTTGCCTTCACAGGATCTTTGTTTTTCAACATTGGAAGAGAAGTAGGGTTTGTATATTACCTTCCCCAAGGAGGAGATGTTTTTTTTCTTTTTTATAATTTGCTGGTTTTAAGATGAAGTTTCAGAAGTTTAAGAACATAGAATCATAGAATGGCCTGGGTTGAAAAGGACCACAGTGATCACTGAGTTCCAACCCCCTGCTATGTGCAGGGTCACCAACCAGCAGCCCAGGCTGCCCAGAGCCACATCCAGCCTGGCCTTGAATGCCTGCAGGGATGGGGCATCCACAGCCTCCTTGGGCAACTTGTTCCAGTGCCTCACCACCCTCTCTGTGAAAAACTTCCTCCTGATATCTAACCTAAACCTCCCCTGTCTCAGTTTAAAACCATTCCCCCTTGTCCCATCAACATGCTTGTGATACAGATTAAATTCAAGCTTGGAGAGGGGCTGCACGAATGTGCAGGGCAGTCTCAGCACGTATACCCACAGGAGAATCGTTGCCATCAGTTTGATCTGGTGACACAATCTCTACAATCCATCTCTTGCTGTGGACTTCAGATCGCAGTTTTCTTACCTCCTCGGTGCCCTTCCTAGGGAGGAAGCAGAAAACATCACCACCCTCTCGATCCTCCCAGAATATACCCAGATGTGATGTGTGAGCTGCACCTTAGAACATGTGAAACATGCCTAAATTTTCATTCCCTTTCCCCTTCCTTCTTTCTTCTTCTTTTGGTATACTCCCTTCCCTATTGCACTGCAGGATTTAAGGATTGCTCTAGGCAAATGGGAAAGCTGCTTTACCCTTTCTATCTATAATCAGTTGTAACATTTCTTTTCTGCATGCCTTCCCATCCAGCCCTATTGGAGAAGTGTTCCGTGCACGCTTGAGACAGTTTCCCTCTCTTGTGAACTGCTGTACCATTGACTGGTTTAACGAGTGGCCTGCTGAAGCCCTGCAATGTGTTGCCTTTTCCTTCTTGCACGAGAACCCGCATCTCGGTGCCAGCACCGATACTGTGGATGGGATGGTAGGTGCCACACAAAGCACAGCTCTTATATGTGCTTCATCTCCAGCTGCACGTAGGCAACAGATGCAGGACACCTGCAGAAAGGTCCCATCCTGGAGCAGCAATATTTCATAATCAGTTCATTAAAATCCAGAAGCAATTAGATTTTATATGCCTTGAAATACCAAGTTCATTTCTTACCCTCTGTGGCACTGAAGCCCACCCACATGCACAAACTCTGCTGTGAGTGTACACTAAGGCACTTTTAAGTCCACCCCCTGTGCTCCCTACACACTCTCTATAGACTTGCCTAACGTGCAACACTGAGTAAAATCGGTTTTTTTCCTTTCTTGTAGGTTCAAATGTGTGTAGAAATCCATCAGAGCGTGGCAAGGAAGTGCCAGGTGTACCTGGCTGAGCTGGCCAGACACAATTATGTCACTCCTAAGAGTTACCTCGATTTCCTCAGCATCTTTTGTTCCCTGATTGGAAAAAAGAAACAGGAGCTGAAAACAGCCAAAAACAGGATGGAAGGAGGCCTGGACAAGGTCTGTCCTCCACAACCCACGTTCAGAGCATTGTTTTTATAGCTGCAGAGATGTGGTGAGATGCCCCACACACAGCTGGTTAACAGGAGAAAACTCATGCTACAGCAAATGAGAACGATGCGTTCTGCTGGGCTCAGTCCTCCCATAGGTCTGAGTCTGCAGCAGTGCTAAAAGCAATAATGGTCCCCATACTTTGGATACCATAGAGTTCTCTGTTAGCCCATCTCTCAGGATCTTCCTTATTAATCTTTTAATTGAAAGCCTTATAACAACAGCATGCTTCTGCTTACTGACTGCCAGGAGCTTGTGTACAGAAAGTGCCTGCAGGCTGCAGCTTGGGAACAACAGCCTCAAGCTAATGTTTCCCATGCTAGACATGTTCAGAGCACAGCTAGTACTTCTTTATAGACAATAATGCATGCCTGAATCTGGGTTTGGATTATAAGACACACAAATACTCCAGATAGCAAATGTGAGTGAGGACGTCCCTAATCCAAACACTATGAACCAGCAGTTGGTTAGGATGGACTAACCCTGACCATTCTGTGATTCTGTGATGGATTGGAGGCAGAAGCAGAGCTGACCCTACAGGAAGGCTGTCTCTGGGACTTCATGCATGTGCCAGCCACTCATTAACCTCTTGCCTGTGACACAGGCAGTCCTGTCTAAGCACACCACAGCATTAGAGTTGGATTTTGGGCCATGGCAAGACCTGTATCAAACACCCACCAGGGCATTGCATACCTTCCCTGGGGCTCTCACTCTATTCTGCTCCCACAGCTCCTGCAAACAGCAGAGGATGTAGCGAGGATGCAGGAAGAGCTGGAGTCTGCCCGCCCTCTCCTGGCACAGGCAGCCAAGGACACACTGGCAACCATGGAGCAGCTGCAGGTACTGCTGCTGGACAGCCCCACAATTTCCATATTTCCACTTCTGACTGCTCATACTGAATGCAGAGTGTGGGGAGGCCTTGCAGAACTTGCAAGGAATCGTGCTTTATCTGCAAGTACAAGAGCTGCAGATTAGTTTAGCACAGTAGATATTTACACAGAGCAGCACTGCCAGGGAGAAGTGTGCTGGGGACCCTCCCAGCTTCCTAGCTCATGTAATGGTTCATCCATTCCTGCATGAAGCCACAGCCCAGGGAAGCAAGAAATCAAGCTAGTAGCTCCCTTTCCTCACTGGATAAGCTCCTTGCACACACAGGCTATACTAACTCAGTCCTCGGGTAGCCCAAGGCAGATTAAAGGCCAGACAGCTGCTGCTAAAAGGGCTCCTTCCCACACCTCCCACCATACATCTGGACATTGATTCAGCCTGAGGCTCAGGGGTTATCACACAGTCACTCAGGTTGCTGAGGAAAAGGGAGCTCTTTCTCCCCTCCTCCTAAAGTTCCACCCTGCCCATCTCCTCACTGTGGCATGGCTACACTGAGGCACAAACACCATACAGCCCTGCTTGCAGGGTGGTCTACTCACACACTTCTCTCACACAGCTTCCTAGAGGTGGCCTGATCCACTCACAGAACAAGATTTGGCTACATTCTACATGTCCTTTGTACCTCCTGGTAGTGCTTGAATCCTTAAGGACTAACAGAATGACAGTTGTAGAAACAAATCTCTGCACATCTTATTCCTATATGTCCCTATATGTTTGCTGTCGCATCCACTCTCTGAGCTAACTGGAGAAATAGGTAGAACAGCTAGTTTCCTACTGGGCTAACAGTGTTCCAGGGCAGCCAGAGCTGGAGCTTGTGGATCGTCTTTACAATCTCCTGCTGTTATGACAGAGCAGCATGTGTATGCTGGAAGAAAAAGCATGGTTATTAGGACTGCTGTGATCCTTACCTAGCAATGCAGAGCACCAAATAGATGCTCTGGGTCCAGCTGTGCTTCTGAGACTGTCTCTGCTACTGCAGGTGGACACAGCTGTTGCTGAAGAGACAAGAACTGCTGTTCAGGCTGAGGAGATGAAGGCCAATGAAAAAGCCCAGAGAGCCCAAGCCATTGCAGATGATGCTCAGAAGGACCTGGCTGAAGCCCTTCCTGCCCTAGATAGTGCTCTGGCCAGCCTGAGAAACCTCAAAAAAAGTGATGTTACAGAGGTAAGCTTAAGGGGGATGGTGGCACAGGTGGGTGTTGTGGTGGAATGTGTTTCTGAGGGGCAGGAAGGACAGCAAGGTTTTGACCTCAGTCTGCTACAGCTGAGCTGAACAGCACTTTGCTGCAATTCCTCTTGTATAAATTTGCACAGTCCACAGCCTTTTCCACCACCTCTATCCCTGAAGCACATATGGTGGGCTAATTGCCTGCACATCCTCTACCAGCCACTTCTTCTCTTCTCTGTCCTACAGAGAGTCATACTGTATGCTATAGTGCCATCCTTGTCCATGGGAGCAAGCAGTGTCATGATGCCACCCTGAGTGTCAGCTGCATAGCATGGACATAGATCTACTGGCACACCCTCTTTGGAAAGGAGATCTAATAGCAGGCAGAGGAGAAGAGGCAAGGGTCAGTAGGCTAACTTCAAGGAAACTGGCTTGAAATAGAATGGTCAGAGTGAACAAGGTAGCCCTGAGTCTACAGTAGGAAACGTCACAGCCCATACCCATAATCTCAGCAAGCAGCAGTACAGATAGAGTCCTCAGCAAAGGACTGTGGTAGTAGATACAGGGTAGGAGTTTTTACTGCGCAGGGCAGGACAGTTATGGTGAGGAGAGACAGACTCATTTCTTCTGCAATTGTGAAAAACAGACCTTTTTATTTCCCCCAAAACATGCACAACTCCTTTCCCCAAGAAAGTGGAGAAGGATGCAGGCAGCACCCATCCCGTTGTAGGGCTGTCATAGCAAGAAGTCTCCTCCCTATACAAGGTTTCCAAATGCCAATTCGAAAGTGCTTCAGATTCTTACATATCATCTTACCCTCCCAGTGGCTTTCAGAAACTCTCTGCTTAAGGAATGAGCTCCATGCTTATTTTAAGCCTAACTACTGACCATTACCATACCCTGCCACTGGAGCCAGGGCCACCAGGGATCTCTCCCAGTCTAAGATAAATGTGTCATCCTAACTAGATGAGAATACCACTTTGCACAACAAGGAGAAGGCATCATTTTGATCTACTCCTTTGCCTAGGGCAGCTCCATCAGTAGTCACTTGGAGGAAGACAAAGCCCGCTGCTCCTGCTCTTCCACCACCTCTCTCAGCCGATCCTCATTGCAGAAGAAATGAAGGTAGAGTTTGCGCTCTGCCTGCAGGCTGGGGTCCTGCAGAGAGCTGCGTTTAACCTTCAGGTCACTCAGGAGTTCTGTCAGATTTTGGTGCAGAACATCCTGGATGGTGATCAGCTGCTCCATCAGTTCAGCAGTCTCCTGAAGGCCAGAAACCAAATGCATTAGAACACACACAGTATATAAACAGCTTAGTCCGCCTACTGTGCAACCCTAATGGAGCAGGGGAAGGGATGGACAGAGCTCCTTGCTTACTGGAGAGCAAAGCTGCAGTTGTTTGGAGTCATTGTACAGCTGCCAGTAGAGGTCCTCTATGGTGGACTCCAGGTTGGATTGTTGGGGAATAGGAACTGCCAGTTGTGCTTCCAGCTCCCTTTTTTCCTGCACCAGCTGGGAGCTATGGGTTGCTATGGCCTTGTAGTTGCAGGATTGCTGCTCATCCTGATCTTGCCCCATCAGCACACCCCAGAGCCTGCAAGAGAGAAGGCAACCAGAGATGTGAGCATCTGACATCACAAAAGAAGAACAGGCCTCAGGGGACAATGCGTGCTATGGAAGTAGGATGCCAGTGGCTGTGGTGTGACAGTGAGAGGACAGCTGAAGATGTGCCTCTGTGCTTCATCCTAGGAAAACTTTTGTTTGAATGAAGATTCATTCTCTTTTCCAAGGCCATTCCTCACTGCATCACCCCCAGAACAGCCAGGAAGAAAATGATACCATCTCCTGGAGAATTTCACTCCACCATGGAGTCAGGGTGGCCCAGCACTGGTAGAACAACATTGTCTGGTAGCTTTCAACTACCAGAAGCTTTCCCTGTTCCCGTGCCACATTCTCCATGTCTTGTTCATGAGGAGTGAACACACAGACCTAGAACCTTACCGCATGGCAATGGAGCCTTCAGGCTCTATCTGTGCGCGTGCAGAACCCTTCATGGAGGAGCTGGCCTCTTTGCAGCAGTCACGATATGCCTGCAGCTTGGCCTGGGCATTCTTCAGGACAGTTTCTGTCTCTCCCAGCCAAGCAGCCTTCTGGTCCAGCTCCTTTTTCTCCCGTTTCAGCTGCAGCTCCAACAGATCCAGGCGGCTTTGCTGGCTCGTCACCCATGCAGCTGCCTCCTCCTGCCTCCGGCCAACATCCTGCAGACGAGCGTCATCCAGACGGAGCTTTTCCTGCAGGATGGGCAGGAGGAAGAGGCTGGCTGCTGCCTTCACCTGGGGCAGCAGCTGGTGGGTCTGGATCTGAGCAATGTCACAGCGCAGGGTGTAAAGCTGCTTCTTGAACGTGGCAGCCTGACTTTGAAGCTTGGCTTCTACTGCATGCTGTATGAGGGAAGATAAGGGAGACCACTGTCAGGGCACACTGCTGGCATTGCCCAGCTTGGTCACAACCTCTAGGCACATTTGTTGTGCCCCAGTGTGTGGTGGATGAGCACTGCAGCACAGGCACACCGTGCTACGAAGGATGAGATTGAAAAGGAGCACTAATCCTACCTTGTTCTCCTTGAGAGCTTCCAGAGTCTTCTGGGCCCAATTTAAGGCAGCACAGTTGCCTTCCACTTTGGCCGACATGGCTATAACCTCCATCTGAGCACAGATATATGCTGTCTCCAGCTGGCTCAGCTCCATCCAGAAATTGTCTCGGTTGCCCATTATTTCATCTCCATTAGTCCTAAGGCTTTTTAGCCCCTTTCGCTTGATGTCCATTCTCTCTGTGGCATCCTGGCTGTCACCTTTCTCCTCCACGTCCCCCACACTCAGCTCCTCACTCTCACTCGTCCCATCCACTGGAGGTTCTGCCCTTGAGCCTTGAATCTTTATTCCCTGGCTTTCAGCTGCGACTGTCTCTGCATACTCTGGATGAGGGGCTGCTCTTCTTCCTCCCATTATTTCTGAGGCTGAGTCCACCTGTATTGCAGCCTCCAGCCTTTCCTGCACACTGCTTTCTGGAGTCTGAGCGCTCCCAGGCAGGACCTGCTCCATTAAGCACTCAAACGCATCCGTGAACTGTTGCTCAAGCTCTATGTAACCTCTGAGGTCCATCTCATGCAGCAGTGCTGACGGCTGGCCTTTCCTTGCTTTCTCATACTCCTCTACCTGCTGCTTTGCAAGCTCAACGAGCTGCTTCAGGACAGTGGTGGTTCGGAAGATCTCCACTCTCAGCTCCACGTGAGCCTTCCTCAAGACCTCCTTTGTCACCTTCTCCTCCTCTTCCAAATACCTCAGCTCCTGCTGCAGGCTGGCTGCCCAAACCTGCAGCTTGTTGAGCCTCCAGAGCTGACGGGCACGGTATCCATCCAGCTCCTGGATCTCCTGCTGCAAGGCCTCCAGAGAGCTTCCCTCAGCCTCTGGTATCACACGTGTGAGCTGCAGGGTCTTCTGGCACTTCTGCAATGCCTGCTTAAGGGCATCACCTTCCAGGATAGGTTTGCCTGCAGCCACCAGAGCATCATAGGCCTGCACCTCAGCCGGGCTCAGCACGTTCTCTTCTCCCACTGTTTTGCAGAACCACTTGATGAACTGCTCTGTCTCGGGGCAGTCAAAGAGCCAGTCGAAGTCCTTCTCACAGAGGGTATCTGCCTGTGGGTAGAACAGTCGCAGTGTCTTCACAAACTCTGCCCCTTTACTGGCTGTGTCTTGGAGGAAGGTCTGGGAACGTCTCCGGCTGGACATGGCAAGGATGGCCAACACTAGAAGGGACAAAGCAGGAGTTATTCCTAAGAGCCCTGACACCCAAAGCCATCCCAGAAGTGCCCCAGTAGCTCTCCTAGCAGGCTGCTTGAGGAAGGACTCCAGCAGTCTCTCCACAACTGATGCAGACTTACTCCCGTGTTCCAGGCCCTGCAGCATTCTCAGAGTAGGGTACAAGACAAATGAGAGCCCACAGAGCAAGAGAGAAAGCCTGCCCATACCCCACGTCTGCTTTTCCCCCTTTCCCAGGGGCATACAGCTCTGGTTGCTTTGCCAAGACATCTACAGCCTGAAGATATCCATCATAGAGCACTGGGGCAGAGCTCTTTCCAGCCTCCTCAGTTTTCTCTGTAGCTTTTCTGATAATCAGCTTTCTCTTCCGATACCTCTCCCTCCTCTCAGTGTCCTTCCTCCACCCCAGCTGAGGTTGAAACACCCATCTCACCAAGGACCAAGCCAACCCATTGTCTCCATTTGGGTTTAAGGTACGAGCGATGCAGCGGCCTCCCGTCGGTGTGAAAATGGTGATCGAAGCAGTCTGCATCATGAAGGAAGTCAAACCCAAGAAAGTGTTAGGGGAGAAGCTGGGCACCAAGGTGGATGATTACTGGGAACCAGGCAGGGGCCTTCTCCAGGACCCAGGAAAATTCTTGGACAGCCTGTTTAAGTATGATAAGGTAAGTGGCAACAGAGCAGAGCTGTGACTGGAGATTGTCATTACCTTGCACAGATCTTGCTCACAGCAGTGAGGCTTAAAGCTCCTTCCAGGCAACACCTTTCAGTAGCACTGAGGATAAGGAAGTGTTTGGCCTGGAAGCTCCTATGTCAGCTGGCTTCATTGCTTTGGACTGTGGGACCTCTGCTCTGTCCAGTTGAAAGAGCTGGATGGAAATCCTGACATATGGTAGAGGAAGGGATTCACCCAAGCCCACTGCTGTGCTTTCCAGGCCTCATCACGGAGCAGTGTGATTCTCTTGCTCCAGTGCAATGCCTTCATTGCCCTTAGCAGCCCTGGGGCAGGCTGCAGCCACTGAGAGAAGCCTTTTCTGACCCTCCTCCATCAGATCTCTGGCACCCTCATCTCCAGTCTCCTTTCTCTCCCACCACTGCTCACAGGACAACATTCCAGACACCGTGATCAAGGCCATCCAGCCATACATTGACAGTAAGGAGTTCCAGCCAGCTGCCATCTCCAAAGTCTCCAAAGCTTGCACCTCCATCTGCCAGTGGGTGCGTGCCATGCACAAGTACCACTTTGCAGCCAAGGTTGTGGAGCCCAAGCGGGTAAGAGGCAGCACGGTCAGGTTGCTCTTGGTGTCAGGGGACACAGGACTACGGTCCTCTCTGTGTGATGAGTCCCCAGCTTTGGTGTGCAGCTCAGGATTTAGACTCCAGTCAAGCCCTGGCAGAACCACTAAACCCAGAAACTCATTAGCTTAATAAAGTGGGGAAAAATCACACTGAGACAGAATTGGTGCTGTGCCCTTAGGGCCAAATCCTTGGTAGAAACTACTTCCAGAAGCACTCCCATATCTCATTTGTGCTTCAGCTTAATCCTCTCCAAGCTTAGTGTTTTCTGTATTATTATTCTGGGGTAAGCAGTGGAAACTTTCCTCCTATTCAAGAGTGGGCCACATCCTGAGCAGTAAGCTCATGCAGGCTCCTGGCTTTTTGAAGCTGCACACAAACTACTTCCTCACTCCTGCTTTTATTCCTGGGAATGAAGAATCTCCCAGTGGAGTTCTGCAGCCTTTGTTGCACAGGGAAGGATCTCAGCTCCAGTTAGTGCTTGTATGGAAAAAAAAAAAAAAGACAGTTCTTTCCTGAACTAGCTCCTGCTGGATGGTCTTGGCTTTTGGGGAGGAGCCTGACCACAAGCACAGCATTACCACTGTTTCCTTGTATATCTCCCCAGCAAGCCTGGCGAGAGGCAGAAGAGGACCTGCGTGCAACTCAGCAGGTCCTTGAGGAAGCTAAGCAACGCCTGAAGGATGTTGAAAGTGGTATTGCCATTCTGCAAGCCAAGTACAACAACTGCATAGCCAAGAAGAAGGAACTGGAGATGAAGTGTGAGCAGTGTCAGCAGAGATTGGGCCGTGCTGCTACGGTAGGGAACAGCTCTGCCTTCTTACAAGAGACAGCCTGACTTCAGGCCAAGGGGCACAGCGATGAAAATCTGTGCATGCCACTTCCAGCAACATTATGTGCCTGCAGCTTATGGCAATGCTAGATTGGAGCTGCCTGGCCAGATCTCAGCAGCACATTAGGGCTGATGTAGCTAATCTTCCCTGTGCCACAGCTCCCTTAGCCAGTTACAGGGATAAATGAGAGCGACACAGCAGCTCTCACATGTGCATCTTATTCCACAGCTCATAAACAGCCTGGCTGATGAGAAGGTGCGCTGGCAGGACACCGTTGAGAACCTGGATTACAAGATCAACAACATTGCTGGGGACGTGCTGCTTGCAGCTGGCTTTGTCGCCTACCTGGGCCCTTTTACTGTAAGTATGCAGTGCTCCCTGGGCTCTGTTGGCTGCTCTGCTCTTCTGCCCTTTGCTGTTGCCAGCTAGATGGGCTTCAAGTCAGATTCTGCCCTGTTTTGGGGTCAGCAGCTGGCACAGTTTGCTGTACTTGCCAGCTCCTCTGGTGACCTGGCTGCCCAGGATGTCTGTCAGCACTGCCTTGGCATCTGGCTACCTCCTAAGAGCAAGGTCAGAGCTGTAACACCACTCCCTTCAAGCTGGACACACGGAATAGGGCAAAAGGATGCAACCTCCCTCCTGGATCTTTCTCCATTTGTGCTAGAGGCTGCACAGGGTCACGTTTGAATAGAAGCAGGAGGGTTTCGTTGCACAGAGTGGAATAGTTGCTACTAAAAGACTGTGATGGTGCTTCTTTTGGCAGGGTCACTACCGTGTAGCACTGTGCAAGGAGTGGCTGAGCAGGCTCTCAGAAAACAATATTCCTCACACCGAGGAGCCAACCCTGATCAGCACTCTTGGGGACCCTGTGGAAATCCGCTCCTGGCAGGCAAGTTATGGAAAAGATTATACAGGAGGCTGAAAAGGTAGGGGACAGGACTGCTTCAGGTAAAGGCTAAAGCACTCAGCACAATTAATTAGGAACTACTTTACCGAAGGAGAGACCCCAAGAGAGCTCAGTAGTTACTTTCAGGGCACACTGCTCAATGAGCAGAAGGGGACCTGGCAGCATCCAGGGCAGCAGCAGCCCTGGGTGCATCATACAGCTCAAGCTGTTGGGTTTCCACTTTACACAGCACAAGATTACAGCAAAGCCTTGGCTGTAGCCTGCCCACCCCCTAATTCAGCCAGCACAGCTCTGTCCTATGGCTCAGCTGCTCCAAAGAGAACTGCATCTCTTCAGAACCTCTCACCACCATCCCCTACCCAGCCATAATCTCCACAGCACGACCACTCAGGGGCCAGGATAGCAAGGGCATCTCAGGATAAGCCTTATTACATATTGTAGCTACCATCCCACATGCAAAAGGCACTCCCTGAATCTGAGCCCCAAAATTGATCCAGCACAAACAGCAATAAACACATTAAAGAGAGAACAGGTCAGCCAGCTCCTGAAACAAGGAGATCAGCTGTCTTGTGTTTCCAAACGCTCCCAGTGGCTGCTAAACTAAGGTTTTATTTCCCCAATTAGATTGCTGGTTTACCAAATGACACGCTGTCTGTGGAGAATGGGGTAATAACACGGTTCTCCCAGCGATGGACTCACTACATAGACCCTCAAAGACAAGCAAACAAGTGGATCAAGAACTTGGTAAGATCCACGGGGTAAAAAGCTAAGTCGGTGGGGCTGGGGAAGCAGCTTTCTGCAGCACAAAGCCTGAGGCTGCTATGCACAGAGCTGCACCCTGATCCTCCCAGTATCAAGCAAGGTCTATATTCATCCCAGCTGAATTTCCCTGTTCAGAGGAATCAACACAAGGAAGCAGGGGCCTTCTGTAAGCAAGCAAAGCATCAATTTCTGGAGATCTTTCATTCTTCATTGTACTCTAAAACACACAGAACAATACTAATACACCCTATAACAGCCTTTAGTGCCTCTAGGACAGAGAGCTCAGAGTGACATTGCTTAACCAGTACCTGGTGCCAGAGATAAGGACCACTTCCTCTTCCCTCTCTCCAGTGAGCCTTCTGGTGCCCTTTCAGAGGACCAAGAAGATGACTCTGGCAGCTGCTGCTGTTGTATTCCCCACAGGTTTTTCCCACCCACCTGCTTTCACTTTGCAGGCTAACGAGCTCTGAGATGCCAATGCTGGGCTCTGCCTGAAGGAGGTTTCTCCCAGTCCCCAGCTTCCTGGTGTTCATTTGGGCTGTCTGTAGTAGCTGGTGATGTTCCAAGAGCGGAGTAAACTTGCAAAAATAGCCAAAAACTTGCTAAGCAAGAAAAGGTGTAATTGCTGCTGCTTCAGAAAGTTAAATCTGCCTAGCAGGGGGTGTGCCATGCACATGAATGATGGGCTGAAATGGGATTAGGTGATCTTGGTAGGTAACAATGAGGTTGTCTGAGCCTTGGTCTGCACACCTCAGCAAACATCACATCAACAAAAGTGCTGTAGATGTGGCCCCTAATCTGGGTCAAGGGCTTGAGCAGCTTTAGTTAGGATCCAGATGAGCTGTTGACCCCATTACTCTTCATCTCCTCAAGGTAGCTGCATCCCTGCATTCCTCTTCTGCCTTTCAGGAGAAGGTGAATGGCCTGGAGGTGGCCAAGCTGAATGACCGGGATTTCCTCTGCAGTCTGGAAAATGCCATTACTTATGGGAAGCCCTTCCTGCTGGAGAATGTTGGCGAGGAGCTGGACCCAGCCCTTGAACCCATCCTGCTAAAACAGGTCCTTTGGCTTGCTGCCGTGGCCAGGCTGGATGGGGATCTGCCAGCAGCTTTGAGCTGCTCTGTGCATCTCCTCAGGCTCTCTCCTCGCTGCAGTGCAGAGGGCACATGGGATGCCTTCTCTCACAAGAATTGACATCCCAGCCCTTCTCCTTTTGTCTCTGATGCAGACCTACAAACAGCAAGGCAGAACAGTGCTGAAGCTGGGGGATGCGGTGATCCCTTACAACGAGGATTTCAAGCTGTACATCACCACCAACCTGTCCAACCCCCATTACAGCCCCGAAGTTTCCACAAAACTCACCCTCATCAACTTCACCATCTCACCCAGGTACATGCTTACCTCAGCAGCTGCTCACGATGTTTAGCTTTATTCTTTACAGCCCTCAAGCCTTCGGGCCTGTTGTCCTTACCCTCACCCCATGGTTTTTGTTTCAGTGGCTTGGAGGACCAATTGCTGGGACAAGTGGTGGCTGAGGAGAGGCCTGATTTAGAAGAGGCTCGAAACCAGCTGATTCTTAGCAATGCTGAGATGCGTCAGGAGCTGAAGGAGATAGAAGACCAGATCCTGTATCGGCTCAGCACTTCCGAAGGAAACCCTGTGGATGACTTGGAGCTCATCAAAGTGCTAGAAGCATCCAAGCTCAAGGCAGGGGAGATCCAGGTATGAGGTGTGGGTGTTCATTCACTGCAGCCACCCTTCCCCTGCCAGCACTGCACAAACTGCAACGTCTCCTGTGTCCCTCAGACCAAGGTGAAGGTGGCAGAGCAGACAGAGGAGGACATCAACACCACACGTTTGCAGTATGCCCCTGTTGCTGTCCGCACACAGATCCTCTACTTCTGTGTCTCAGACCTGTCCAGTGTGGACCCCATGTACCAGTACTCACTGGAGTGGTTCCTCAACATCTTCCTCATGGGGATCAGTAACTCTGAGAGAGCAGGTGCGTGCCTGAAATGGTCCCCTCCCATCCCTTTCTTCACACCACGTTCCTGGCTTAGAAGCTAGGGTCCTGAAGAGTCAAGATGTGCCTGCTTGCATTGGCTCTCCGCGTGGTCCAGAGTTACCCATGGTTGTATCTGCACAGCACAGGTTTCAGCTTCCCCTCCTCTTCTGCACTACTCTGCTGCCCCATCTGACCAGGCAGGGAGATGGTAATGCAAGGGCACAGGCAAGGCGTGTGCCATCCTGGCAGCAATGTGGCTCTGCTTCTCATGGAGCCAGCTCCACGTGTGGCTGTTGGCTGCCACTGCAATCCACCCAGCAGTGCATGGCAGCCAAGATAGTGTCACGGGATCCTTCTGACTGCTGTGGTGCAGTGACTCCCTCCTGGTGCTGGGACAGTGCTTTATTCCACGCTGGCTCTCTTCTGGAAAAGCAGGAGCAAGCAGCTGTTTGCCCAGCTGCAGAAAACACCCTTTGTTTGGGGTTGCTTTGTTCAGATATGAGGCCTGTCCTGACCCCTTCTTCCACAATGCAGTGATTGTACGTGCACAGCAGGATACGTCTGACACATCTGGATGACAGGGGATTCTCAGGGGATTCTGCATTAAGTCTGTATTTGAGAGCAGCATCTCTTGTGTTGTGCACCTTCCACGTCACCACTGCCTTGTCTGGTCATTGTTTTTTTCCAGATACTGTGAAGGAGCGGATCGTGAACATCAACAACTACATCACCTTCAGTCTCTACAGCAGTGTGTGCCGTAGCCTCTTTGAGAAGCACAAGCTCATGTTTGCCTTCCTCGTTTGTGCCCAGATCTTGATAAATGATGGGCAGATTGATATGGTAAGCAAGTCGCTCCAATCTTTGAATAGGATCCCCAGCAGAGCAACCCAGGCTCAGGTGTACAGTCCCCTTGCTTAGCATGCTGGTGTGGCAAAGAAGCCTTGTTCCCTGGGGCTGGGTGTAAATGTGACAGGCTGGTTGGCAAACCTAGGGCCTTTCTGTTCATTCAGATCTCAAACCTTTCCCTATGCTGGTCTGCTGCAAAGGCTTCCATGGGTGAGTTTGGAGGGGTTGGGCAGGGATTAGAGGCTGCAGCACCACAGAGGAAAGCCAACAGCAATTGAAAGGCAATGTTAATCTCACAGGCCTTCTGATTCACTTATTCCTCCACGTGCACCCCTGGCAGGAGCAGCAGCCATAAGGTTACTACCAGATACAGCACAAACCTGCACGCTTCTGGCCAGGCAGGTGGGCTGTAAGCCATGACCTTGTACTGTCCTGTTCTCAGGATGAGTGGCGATTCCTGCTCTCGGGGGGAACTATAAAGGAGGTGCAGGAGAACCCAGCTCCAGACTGGCTGAATGAGCGAGCATGGGGAGACATCCTGACTTTGAGCAACCTGAAGAACTTCTCTGGCTTTGCCAATGACTTTGCTGCCAGCCTTTCAGCATTCAGGGCCATCTTTGACAGCCATGAACCTCAAAGGCAAGTGTTCCAAGCTTTGTCAGTTTTGTTGTACTGTGCCAGGCAAACGATGGCATCGTTGGAAGAGCACAAGATGCTGATTCAGCCACAATACCAGCTCTGCTCAGTGCAGTGCTGGCTGGGGCTTGGGCTTCTGGCACTCTTGCTTGCCCAAGACAGGGTCCAAAAACATCTGTTGCTCTGTTTTGCACTCCAATAATTTCAAACCTGTGAACAACAACCTCAGCCAACTGGCTGGAAGGTCCTTGTCCCTCCTCAGACTCCATAGCCTCCTGCAAAGTATCTTGAGTGCTTCTCAGGGAGCTGCAGGATCTGACCCATTCCCCTCAAAATACAAATAATTGCTTTGTAGAGAGCCCCTGCCTGGGAAGTGGGACGCTGAGCTTGATGCCTTCCAGAAGCTGCTGGTTCTGCGGTGTCTGCGGGGAGATAAGATCACCAATGCCATGCAGGACTTTGTGGCACTGAACCTGGGTCGGCACTTCATTGAGCCTCAGGTAATCAGCCTAAAGGAAGCACTGCTGGAGGAAAGCTGCAAAAGGGCCAGCAGCTTTTTCCAGATGCTGCAAGGATGCCTCCATCCAGCCACAGAGGAGGACTGTGCCAGCAGTCTCCAAAGCTGGACAATACTTATGTCTTAGAGGATGGAAATCCTCCCTCTCAACTAGCAGCACTAATGTACTGGAAGGGAGCAGTGACCACAGGCATACAACCTCAAATGGGAAACTAATCACTGCCCTGATCCTAATTCTGCCAAAGCAGAGCATTACCAGGCCCTAGTGGAACACGCTTCTGGCTTCTTGTCTCCAGACTGGTGGCACAGGGAGGGCTGGAGGTCAGGTTGGGTGAGGTGGTGCTGTGAATGGTGCTGAGATGCAGCCCTCCATTGTGACAAGCTGTCTCTGTTGCAGACCGCTGACCTCTCCATCGTGTTCAGGGACTCCAGTGCCACCACCCCCCTCGTGTTCGTGCTGTCCCCAGGCACTGACCCTGCTGCCGACCTGTACAAGTTTGCTGAAGAGATGAAGTTCTCCAAAAAACTCTCTGCCATTTCCCTGGGTCAAGGCCAGGTAAGCTGCTGACCTGGGGAAGGACGGTCCTGCTGGCACTTCTGGTGATCTCACTGAGTTTCAAAAAGGCCAGACATCTTTGCAGCACAATGAAAGCACTTTTCTGCCCCAAGGCCCTCACTCACCTATCTTCTGCTAGCTGGAGGAGCCAATTCAGCAGGGAGGGCTGCAGCTGTTCCCCTGTTAAAGTCCTCCATCCTCCTAATATGTCCCCAGTTCAACCTTCCCACACCATGACCCACAGACTGCTGAGCTGCAAAGGGCCGTTGTTGCACCATCAGCAGATGGTGACAATCCAGCCAAACCCTGGGAACAAAGCCAAGCTGTCAAGCTGGAAAGTGATCTTTCCACCCAGCAGCTGTCTCCTTGTCTGGCTTAGCAGGGCACAGCCTGAAAGACCAGGATCTGATCCCTTCTCATCTGCCTCCACAGGGCCCCCGTGCTGAAGCCATGATGCACAGTGCCATGGAGCAGGGAAACTGGGTCTTCTTCCAGAACTGCCACCTGGCCCCCAGCTGGATGCCTTCACTGGAGAGACTCATTGAAGGCATTGACCCCAACAAGGTGATGTACATCCTGTGGCTGGGAACATGGAGAAAACCCTTTGCTCCCATCCCACACAACAGTGGTGGCTCTGGTGCCCAGTAAGCAGGGTGCTGTGCTGTACTCTGATGTTCTGTTCTTCCAGCTGCATTGCTTAGTATGTAGCCCTGTTCCTCGTGTTCTGCAGATGCAGAGAAACCACCTTACCTGGTGGCCACTGTAGCAGGGAGACATGATATTTGCATCTCTCATCTCAGGGAGGAGTGCAGTTTTGCAGCTGCTATGGCCACTTGCTGAAGTTTCCATTCTTTGGGACTTTTGGTGTCATACACAGCCTTGAGGTTCCAGCAACCAGAGGCTTGCACTAAGCTGTCAATCGAGCAACTT